CCACTGCCAGTCTCCTCATCAGCATCATTTTGTTCTTATCGTTGTGAGCTCGTGAGCTCTGTGCAAATCCAAATCCATTTTCACCAAATTCCATTAGGCGTGCGCCGTAACTGGAGCACAAAAGTATGCAATATGTCCCCAGTTTTCGTGCACAAAAAAGAAAAGCAATTATGTAGAAATAATATCTTCAGTCTCGACACGCTCCTTAAGTGAATTGTGTGCGCTGAGTCGATTGTTTTTACTTCCAAGACACTCCACCCCTCGTCCCCGCCAGACTAACACAGCCCCCATTTAGAGGTACTGCTTACACAGACGTGCTGCTTTATATATATAGACGTGTCTATAGTCACTTGGCTAGCGATTTGATGATTGACGCATTCGCAAAAATTTCGAATATGAGCTGAAGACGATTGCCAAAACTGTATTTGCAAATATTAAATATGCATGCCGCGTTGCTGCGCCCAGCTCCCAGGCAAATGCCAGGCCTAAGATATACAACTGATTCCCACCTCCACAAATGAAGGCTAATGAGCGAGGCAGCTTTAGCCTGCACGAAAGAGATGCCAATATTAAAGCAAATATTTGCGGGCTATTATAATTATGATTGTGACTCAACGTTCTCTGTCTCTCCCTGTGTCTCCCTGGCTTTGTTCTTCAGTTGAGTAATGCCCAACCGATTTCTCTAGCTGTTGTTCAAATATTGCTTACAGAAATTGATATATATAGGCTGACCAACGAGAAGTAATGCCAACAGTTCGAAGAAAATGAGATTTGTTTGCGGTCTTCCCTGTGTGTAGAGTATCACCTTCGTCTGCCCGGCTCGACTGGCATTGCCTCCAGCATTATGTGCAGTGTTATTTCTGCTTTTATACTAGTTGCTACCGCAGCTATACTTACATCACTTCATACTAATATGCACGGCTACTGGTTTTAGATCCCAAATATTCTATTGCATAGCATACGGCTTTAATGCCCACAGAGTTAATGACAAAATGCACATATTTCTTAAATTTTTAAAAATTATTTGCATGCATTTAATAGGCCAACAAAAATATATAATTAAATGGCAAGACTTAGTCAATAAGTCAACGGCTTTATATATTTAATAATGCAAACAGCTGCTGAAATATAGGCATCTGAAATGCTAACACTCTTGCTGAGTCACCCTATATTTTGATGACATTTTTTTATTTATATACCAGAATGTGAATTTATTTGACAGACAAACTCTTACTTGTTAGAGAGGGAGAGGGAGGGTTAGGAAACACTTGAAATTCATCTAAATTTTACTTCACCCACACGTGCTGTGCAGAACACTTTTTGTTTTCTCAACATAAATCTTCAAAGTGTGAAAAAAGAAAATGTTTTTTATAAGAAAACTCGACTCGAATCGCTCTCGTTTGGCATATAAAACTCGAGCAGTGCCCAAGCGGCACATAATCTGTGCAATTTGCGTGCGTTTTATGCGATTTTTGTTACAATCATTAGTGGCTATAAAGCACACCCACACACACACACTCAGACCAAGATGAGCATGTGTTTGTGCAACATTTATATGCAAATTGAGAGCAGCCCTTGAGGCACAAGTCGAGAGGGTAAAAGTTAGTGTCATGTGGCAGCTGCAGGTATCCTGCCACCATAAGACTCTATTGTCTCAGCTAATTGCTCCAAGAACAACCGACCTTAAAGCCATTAAATATTTCTTTGGCATATGATAATTTCCAAAAATGTCAAATTTCGTTTGCTTTTGTCCGTCCGGCCAGTTGTACGTTGCTATGCAGCAGCTGTATCTCTTACTGCTGATTGGCAGGCAGCCATCAGCAGGCAAAAGCGAAAAAAATTATCCAATTTAAAAGTCAAATGTCATTTTTTGTTTGCCGCCATCGCCATTACATTATGTGAGTTACCTAACAAAGGTGCTACTTCAGCAGTGGCGACGATGATGAGCTGTAGCAGGAGGCGCAGATCGAGGACGACGACGACGACGAATGCATAAGTCGAGTGGAGCACGACAGAAACAGTGCGACTGGCAAGAGACATTTCATTTCACTGGCAATGCCAAAGCAGAGCACAAAATTGCGTGAATTTCATTTAACGAAGCAACTTTGTCACCAGAAGGAAGACAGAAAAAGGCCAAAAGTGGCAGGAGGCAGCAGACAGCAGGCAGCAGGCAGAACAGACGCCTACCACGTGAATGCGTTGAGTTTGTTAATGTGTTTGCATAAATTTCAACAGCAACAGGACTGAGTGAAAACTTGGCTAGAACAGGATAAGCAAGTATATTCATATATATTATATATATACTCACAGCTGGCTAAACAACAGCAACAGCAACAGGAGCTCCAGCTGCCAGCGGCATGAAGTGCGTTTCCAGCTAGTTTCTTGTCTAAAGTTTTCGTAGCCAAATCGGAGTCAACGTTGCATGACAAGACTTGTATGATTCAATTTGTTTTAAGTTTAGGGTTCAAAGAGCTTGTCGCTTTGGCATATGCCTAACTGAACATTAATCAGCCTAAGCATGGCATATGCAGCAGTGGCAGCTCTCTATAAACTTGTTAATTGTTTAAGCTTTAACAGAGCTGATAAGCGCTCAACTAGTCTGCTGATTGCAGTCTCCCTTTCACTATCTCTCTCTGGCAGGTGAAGTTGCATGACACGCCCCTTTGGGTGGACTGTCAGTCAATTCAGCGAAAAGTGTCCACCTGCCGTGGCAGGGTTAAAGGTTAAGTGCACAAGCTGAACCCCTCGGGCACGGGTTGTGTTTAAATGTTTGTTTTCGCTTCTTTTGGCTCAGCCACGTGTTGCCCCTGTCGCAATTTTGTCGTTTCCCGTAATGCATTAGCGCTGTCAGGCGTCGCATGTCAACCGCGTCGTAACATGTAGCACAAGAGTTGCGGCACGTGGCAAACACCGGATATGTTCAGGGTTTTCCGCACAAACATATCATCTGCGCTGCCAATTGATATTGCTTTGGCATATCGCTTTCATAAAGGGCTAAAGGCCTCGCAAAAAGTGCCGCGAATTCGATACTTTAAAGCAGCTGAGCAGCTAAAGTTGTAGCTGCTTTTTACACCAGTTTCAAGTACTATGAATATAAATTCGTCACAATTTCGATTGATACTTGATTTGATTGCTAAAAGAGTTGCCCTCAAGTATTTGGCTTTGTTTGAGCTTGAGCACGGGCACAGATCAAATATTTATAAATCGCGTGATTCGCCTTTGTCAAACTAAATCAAATAATCCAAAACTCAAAGAAAATATTTCAAATTAATGAGAAAATTTATATGCATTATTAAATTTTCGCTTTTCACTTGTATTTGAAGTTGCAGAACCTCATTTTTGACAAAAACAATGCGCACAGCACTAAGATTGGGTGTCAATTTCTCTAGCTTCCACGAATTCTCTTTTCTATTTACTTAACACACACACACACATACATGCTGTAATATACATGTGTGTATATATTTGCGAGTGTGTCCCAAATGTATTTGTGTATCTTTTTCTGATTCTGTTGTTTGTGTCGCCTTGGCGCAATTTTTATGGTTCATAAAACCCGAAATTAGAAACTGCCGCTACGCAGACAGCGACACACACCCAAACACACCCACTCACACCCAGAAGCAGAAAGAATTTTTATGCCATGTTCATCCCACTAAAGCGTAAAAATCTGGAGTCCACAGTAGGAAGCAGCCACGAAGTGGATTTTCTTATTAGTATTACATTTAAATGGCATATAATTTGTTTGCGTCATAATATTTATGTAGCTTGTGTCGCTTCCCGTTTCTGTTTCTACCATATTTATGTTCACTTGGCTGCTGCTGTTGGTCTGACAACATGCCGTTAGCAATGCGTACTTGTAACCGTGGCTTTTGTGGCATGCGATGCTGTTCAAGTCCCAATCGCAAGCGCAGAATCGTGATTTTGCCATCTTAGGAATTGTGTATAATTTGTAAGTGCCTGCACAATGCAGCCAGCCAGCAACACACGCGGCGTATGCGCAATATTTCGCTGCAAATAATTAAATGTGTGTGTGTGTGTGTGCCAAGGGAAAACAAGTAGAATTTTCTATTTATCTTAAGCTTAGACGCGACGCTGTTCTGATGTTGGCGTGTGGAAATTTTTAATTGCCGCTTTAACAGGAGCAAGCAAATGGCCTCAGCTTTTGTTGCCCGTTTGCGTGTTGTGCCTTGGGCTTAGTTAGTGCCAGCGTCTCAGGCGCTGAAGTGCTTGTCGTGAAACTGGCCTTTTGCACATAAAAATGCGTTTTCTTTACGTTTTCTCTGCCATTTATTTGCACACACAAAGCACGACTTAGAAAAGACACAGCCAGAGAGGGAGCAAGAGAGGGCGGGGGGCAGGAGAGAGGAAGTAAAAGCCAGTGCCACCAATGTATATAAGCATTTCGAGATGTCCTTGGGGCAATCTCCTTTCAAGACGAACAAGTAAATAACCAAAAAGAAAATTCGCATAAATCAAAGCAAATATTTTGCTTACGTTTTGAAAGTCACATAGAGCTGCAGCTTTCTGGTTGCCCACAGTCTGATTCGAAGGCTAATCAAGATTTTGTCATTTTATTGCAGGAACATCAAATTGATATTGCAGCAGGGCGGAAGGCGGACGGCTTTAGCAACGTGCAACAAACGGCGAACGAGAAATGAACTCAACAACCGCGACGCTGATGCGCCAAGCCCAGTTATGGGGGCTGTCAAGTTTACGCTTTGGCTTTGGCCTTTAAAGCTTAAAAAGCCAAGCAAAACAACAACAGCAACAACAACACTTGCAGCATCATTGTCATCATCGAACGCCTGCGCGGAACATGCGCTGCCGAAGGTAACGAGCTGTAGCCCAAAGTGAAATTGAAACGATCTAACAAAGGGATCGATCAGGCATCAAATAAGCCCCCGAAAAACTGGGCCAGAATTTGAAACGTTAAAAGTCGCTGAGAAGTAAAACGTCTGCCTGCTGACAATGCAGCAGCGCAAAGCCTCTCTTCCGCTGCTGCTGCTGCTGCTGGTGTGGCATACACGAGCCGAGCTGGCGGTCTCGGAATCCAGCACTGGAGTTGATGCACCACAGCCGGCACGAGCGCGCATCAAAGCGAAAACGGAAAACATGTCGACGCTGGCCTCCAGCACGGGCGATGGCTTCAACATTCGTCACGGTCGCTCCCGGGCACATATGCTGTACGGCAGCAGCATTAACAGCACACGATTGACTCTGGTCAGCGATGCTGCAACGTTGCATGCCGCTGTGCCCTTGGCCAAGCCCACGGCGCCAACGATGCCGCCCACACAGCAGCCGGACGGCGGCGGGGCGCCAGTCACGCATAAAATTCGCAAATTGCACAAAAAGAAAATCAACGAGAGCATACGGAAGAGCGTGGACAAGAGCCTGGGCGTGGTGCGAGCGGTCAAGAATCATCGCAGCCTGGCCGAGGCCGAACACCTCCAGGGTCGGCCCACAGATGTCGATGATGCGGATGATACAGCGGCGCTCAGCGAGATTATGCAATTGGCAGACGAGATTGATTTGGAAAACTCATTAGAGTCAGCTTACCAGAGTGCCATTGCCGTTGACTCAAGGACGCCGCTGGCCACCGAGCCGACCACGAACATTGTTCAGCCAGCCTTGGCCACATTACGAAGCACAGGTGCTGGGCCGAAGGGCAGTATCAGTATCGCAGCAGCAGCAGCAGCAGCTGGCCGGCAATTTGTGCGTGCCAACAGTGATGATGCCAATTATGAGGACAGCGCCGAGAACGATGAGCTGTCAACCACGGAAATGGCAACATTTGCGCCTCGTCAACCAGCCGTAAATGGACCGAAAAGCTGGCAGCTCCAGCAGACTCGAGTCTTGGGCAGAACCCGACTACTGCCAGTCAACCAGAGCAACAGCAGGCCATTTGCATCGGCGGCAGTTGGTCTCAATGTTAATTCGCCCATGGGTAGGGGAACGATGGATTACCAACTTGAGGTCTCCGAATCGCGAAACGCTGACAATGATGAAAGTGGCGATGGCGATGGCGATGATGAGGATGAGGCGAGAGAGGATGCGACAGTGGCTGCCCCCGACAGTGACAACAGCAGCGCATACGCCATTGCCGAGTGGCCAGAAACGGAGACCGAAGTGCGCTCCCAGGCCATCACCAGTCAACAGGACAGAGAGGGCATGGTAGTCAAGCAGATCAACTTCAACTTCGAGTCAGAGTCAGAGTCCGGGTCGGAGTCGGAGGCGGAGGTGGACAGCATGTCCGTGCTAGATACTTCAGAGGTAACCATGGACGACGGCTACCCGCCCGAGGTGCTTATTGATGACAAGACTAAGCCACTAGTTATTGACGATGTGGAGGGCGATAGCGTTGATTCCAATCAGATAACGGCCGATGTAATAAATGCGCGCGATAGCAAAATTGACTTGGTATCAAAGTTTTTGCAGTACATCGAACAGCAGCATTTGATGGGCTCCAACTGCGTGGCTGGCACATCGCTGAATCTCGGCGAGGGTGTGGTCGACCGCTATGCACAGGATCGATTTCGTGTTGAGGCCGAGGTGGCCGTCAATCGCGCCAACATGCTGACCAGGTGAGTCACACATCCGTCCGGACCTCCCTTTGTGCCATCGGCCCAACTATTATTCACATTCCAAACTTTTCCAATCGAAACTTGGCCAACGGCAACAGACGACGCACTGTGAAGCCAACTGAACTGTTGAAATGGCCAAGCAAATGGCCGCAACAGTGCACACGTCTGTCTGCTGGCCAATGGCTTTTGGCAGCTGGCTGCTACCCGCTGGTTGCAGGCAGAGTTGGCCTCGTGACAGGAATAAATATGTGACACGAACCAGACACTTGCATATGTCAATACCTTAATATCTTCAATAGCATTTGGCCAGCACTTGTGCTAAAAAGTTCCCTCAATCATACAATTCAATAGTTAAATAGTTAAAGCTCTTATTATGGCATGGTATTGAAAATTTAACAAAAGTTAAGAGCTGACTTCTATATGAAATTTAAATAAAATAGTTCAGCTTTACAAGAATAAACTAATATACATATTTATATATATAATTTGATTTTCAAGTTTTAATATCTGAACTAATAGAGTATTTATAAAATATATTTTTACACATAATTTTTTATATATAGAGAGCTTCATTTATTAAACATATAATTTATCATATTTATTTATTAATATTTCACATATTAACATCAACACGTGTGTAAATAATTGGCTCAATTTATTGAATAATCAATTATAATTATGTCTGTATATATATATATATATATATATATATATATATATATATATATATAATATATATATCTATATATATATATAAATATATGTTATTATTTTATATATATATAATTTTCAATTTATTGTAAATAATTGCCCCAAAGATATAAAATTAATTGATTAATTAGTCATGATGAAATGAATTAATAAATTAATTTTTAATATATAATACTTCTCATATTTTTAAAAATTTAATTTACTTCATTTAATAAATTATGAAATAAATTAATTTTTACATGCAATTTATATAATTTAAATATCAGTTTTCTCCATTTATCACAAAATTAATTATGTTCTTTATTATTTCATATAGTTGATTAAATTATAGCCTTATATAAAAAATACTCATTGCCCAATTAATCATTGTTACAAAATAATAAATATATATAAGTATGTAGCATTTCCAATATTTATTAATATTGCAAAATTTACTCATAATGCCATGAAATAATAAATTCTTATATTTAATATTTCATATATTTTTTATGTTAAAAAGTTACAAATCTGAATATATTTATTTACACTTTAAAAAATAATTTTGGTTTACATTTTCTTATTTAGTTTAACATACGCACACTATCATTACATATACCATATGACGAATACTCCAATCACTAACCCACAGATCACACATAAGCAATACAACATTAAAGCTGTCAAATAAGTGTTTATAGTTCTAATTTAGAATGAACATAGTTAGGCATTAAAAAAATTAATAAATTTTGTTCATTCACCCATCATTGAGAATTATATCAAATATGTGATACGCTCTGAAACAAATAAAAGTTCTAATCCTTAACAACAAACAGAGAATTTATATTCGAATAATCCTATAATTCCAGAACTTTTCTGTGTATTAAATATTTATTCCAGTCATGATTTTATTTTGCATATTTAATATATTCCATCCGTGACTCCGTTTGATGTTTTGCATTTGTACAGAATGTTTTCATTAATATTAATATTAATAATATGCAAACAGTTCAACAACTGTTGAAGTAACAAATGAAAATAGTTTGGCCACAGTACTCTGGATCAACGCACACTCTCGCCCTCATTATGTAATTAGTTATATATATATATATGTATATATAAGATATGATATAATATTTACTCAATTAACTTATACTTATGTTGGGTGGCAAGTTGCCTGAAGTTGTCTGGAGTTTTGATAAAAGTTCAATTACTTAGTGAATGGGAAACTGCGCTAAGAACGATTGTCGAAAACTTGGCCAGCAAAGAAAGAAAAGAATCGAAGTCAAGTCAAGGGCTTTGATTTACTTTGACAACCGCAACAATGCCGATATTTTTTCATAGGAATTCACAGCTGTCGCTGCGAGCACGCCTAGCTGTTGCCCACTTTAACAACGAACGAATGGTACGTTCAAGGACATGCTATACCTCTTGAAGTCTGCTGCTCAGCATCAATATCGAACAGCCAGCAGCTAGCAGCGGCTCTGAGCAGCAGTCTGAGCGACAGTTGTTCGACTCTCTTGGTCAGTCGGGCGCAATAAATGCCAAAGTTTTGTGCACGGCGCATATGTGGGCTCCACGAACGACTGTTGCTGTGGCCACCTGCATGTGACTGTGCTCCTTGCAGGACATTAGACATTGAATATATGTTCGTTTCAGTGAAAAAGCGTTTCAATTTTTTTCTCTCGATTTCAGACACTGACCAAACGGAAAGAAATATATAGAAAAAACCAAATAGAAGGAAAATGTCAGCGAGCTGCGACTCATGTATTCACATTTTCTTCTTTTTTTTTTCTTTTTTGTTGCTCTCCCTTGACTCCCACATAATTTCCTATCGCAGATAAGAACTTTTCCGTCGAACTTTGTGCGTCGTGCACCGACGCGACGTGTGTGCGTCCCACAGCATTGATTAGAACACGCTTAAATCACGGCCATTTGTTCGCTCAAAGTAAAAGTAATTTATTAAGAAGCAGACGAAAAAATGTGCTAGAAAAATAAAAAGCAAAACAATTATTTCGCGTGCAACGAAAACCAGATACTCTAGCAGAGGTAGCCAAAGCTGAGGTAACTAAACCATAGATGGGAAGGAAGAGACTGTGATATATGACTTCCCTTTTAGCTACTACGAAAGATTTGATGATCTGTAGGTCTGACATTAGTTAGCTTGGATAAAAGGCCAAATTGAACTGGGTTTATCAATGGCTCATCTAAGTCTCAGTTGACTGGAAGGTTTTCAAAAGTAAATTGATTGCTCAAAACCAAAGCAGCTCTCATTTCAGTATAGCTAGTGCCCTTGGAAAGCCAGCTGACAAATCAGTCACACTTGTCGCCTATCCATAAAAGACAAATAAACAATTAAACGCACAAACAACGTGACAAATTAAGTGGATCGCGCGCCAGAGGCCAAACAAAGATAGCAACAACAATTGACACGAGTCAAGGGCAATAAAATGCTGCTAAACGTGAAATGCCAATAAATTATATTATATCCTGGGCTGTGAGCAGGATCAACATTATTGCATTTAGTGTCATATGTTAGACGTTTGCTTTCATTATGTCCGAATAAATGTTCGTCGATGTCAGAGTGTTGACCCCGGGGAGCTATTGGCGCAGCCTAAGCGCTAAGCAGTCGCTGGCTTAAGATAGGCCGCCGGGCACAGTCCCTGGTTCATAATCTCGCAGATATTCATCAATTATTTTAATCAGTTCTCGATAGGTCGCCAACGCACTTTGTTTTGTATGTAAACATAATCAACGACTTCCTGTCGCCCACGCGACGCGGCAGCTTGGGAAAACCAAAATCCTCGACAACGCCTCGAAAAAAAAAATGACAAAGGCAACAACATCCGCAGCAGACAACACCAAGTGGGCTGAAGCTAACTGTGGGTGTGATAGAAGTTATTAAAGCGTGGGTTTGAGTGTGGGTGTGGGTGTGGGTGTTTTGCTGGTTTGTTGGGCCTTTTAGGTGGAAACACGTACAGACAAACTAATTGAAGTTATTGTTTAGTGATACAATTTTGTTGCTCTTGTTGTTGTTGCTATTGGCGTTGCTGCTCGGTGTTTGTGTCTAAGCATTTCCGTTTATTTGTTACGCAAACAAAAACAAAGAAGAACAGTTAAGAAAACACTGGAAAACAACAACCAAAAGCAGGCGTTGAGTATAAAAGAAGAAGCGCAAGGCAGGAAGGCAGGAAAAACAATATCAATTCAAGTTGAAATTACGAGCTTCAATTGTTTTCTTGCCTTGGCCACTTTTTCTTTTAGTTTCCGTGCGCGCCGCAAAAGTGTTGCCAGTCTAAGCACACACACACACACACACACACACCTTGTAAAATGAGCAAAAAGAGTTGGCAAACTTTTAAGTACTTAAATGTGTTGTCGTCGCTTGAGTTTTAGCTCGAGTGCTGCCCTCTGCATCCGTCGACATTGTGCATAGAACTTAGCTGAAATTGAGTTTCCGGTTTCTTGTTGTTTGGCAATGGCAATGTTTTTGTTTCTCTTTGCTGCTGCTGCTGCTGCTCGCAATTCGTTGCGATTTGTTGTTTGTCTTGAACTTTTCCGATAAAGTGACGCATGCAAATAAATCGGCCGTTGGTTTGGTCGTATTCAATTTGTCGTGCAACATTTGGCTTCGGTTGGGAAGCAATTGTTGCCTGCCGCTGTTTGAGCTCTCGTATTTGTTTTCAAAACAAATCGAAATCTGCATAAGCGATGTGCAGTGGCAAAGGCAAAAATAGCAGAAGGAATGGCAAATGGCAAATGGCAAATGGCAATTGCAGCGAGCAATGGCCCGCCCGCGGCAATAAAACGCAGCTGAGATGGCGTTGTCGACGCTGACATGACAACAACAAGGTCACCGCCACACAGTGTGGCCTGGCACTGCCGAGCCCCTTGCATGCCATTGTCAACATCCTTCAAAGTTTGCCAGCGCAAACAAATAAATATGCGAGTGCGTGCAGCCAGAGACAGAGCTACAGATCTACAGAGCTCTAGATACAGCTACAGAGCTATAGATACATGAAACACATGGCCAACATCCGGCTTTTGCTTTGGCCTTTAGTGCCGCTTGATTTGCTGTGCGCCACGGGTGGTGCTAATAACGCTTCCACCACCAACTAATATAAACGCATTCGCTCTTTTTCCTTCTGCTGCTGCTGCTCTCAGTTACAAAATGGAAATTGTTTTCATTTCGCGCAGTATATACCTAATGTGAATTTCAACTGCTGCCCGCTTGCTATTGTACAACTGCAACTGACAGCAGCGTGCGGTGGTGCAGAGGTGCGGTGGTGCCTGCGGTTGTTGCGGCACAACTG